GGCTCGTCGGCGCGCCTCCTGTGATACGGTCCGGCTTCGCCGCGCGTACCTTTTCCCGCTGTGCAATGCTCGACTAAAGTTTGGTCCTCCTTTAATCTGTAGGCATGTAAGCGGATTTATATAGTGTTGGTAAGAATCGTCGAGCAGATGTGTAATTGACAGAAGACATCAGATATTAATCAAGTACTCTGTCAAATGAAAAAAAAGGATTGCGCATCGAAACTGCGCTCACCTGATCATGCCGCCCATATCTCAGAAATAGGTGCGCCGACGTGAGGCGGTCAGCCGACGCGTATCAACTAAGTCTGCAGCGACTGGTGCTTAGGAGAATAGCTGTCGATGAAGTGAGACTCAGATTCATGTCACACATACCTACGACCCCATGAAAGGCAGATAGCTATCACGATGACGGGCGTGGAAAGTTAATGACATCTCCGAAACCAACTCAAAGAATTTTTGGTGTGGCTTTGGGTACATCCTGAGTGACTTCGCTCACAATACGGGTGCCTCACCCTTCTCACCCTCACCTAGCGATCCTTCGTTGACTTCAATTCACGTCTTTCCCGCGGCTGCTGTGCTTTAGGACTGCTTCGCAGACTATTTTTCTGGCTCCGCACACATCAGAGCCACGACATGTGTCTCTACATTTCCCAATGAGCCACCCTTTGCTGACCTTATCCACCTTTTTCCGGTCTCTGCAACGCTCTGGGACCTTTTACAGAATATTTGTCTGGCTCCACCCATATCAGAGCAGACCCCGCCCAGACATGTGTGCCCTACATTTTCAACGGGCTGCCCTTCGTTGACCCTAAAACAGATTTTACTCGATCGAACCGCTATGCAGATTTTTTTGTCTGCTCCGTTCACATCACAGCAGACTCCGCCCACAACGTCTGTCCCTACATTTTCAACGGGCGACCCGGCTGACCCTAATCCACTTTCTTTCGGTCTCTGCAGCTCTTTTTACAGACTATGTTTGGCTCCGTCCACTTCAGAGCACATCCGCGCCAACGTGTGTGCCGAACACTTCTAAACCGGCAACCTTAGCTGACCCTAACTCGCTTTCTTTCGGTCTCTGGAGTGCTCTGGAACAGAGCTACCATTTTTTGAATAGGACATTATGCTTAAGGGCAAGCTCCGCCCGTTGTGCGCGGGTCTCACCATACCGCAGGCATGCTCAAAAGGTTGCACTTCGACTCCGACTTTTGTGCGATTTCTGAACTCTCTCGAAAACCGAGTAAATGAATTTCGTGGGGAACTCCGCTCTCCTTGTGTGTCTCCCCAATTTGGTCTGACGACCCCTTGCTAACTTATTCCTACTTTTCCTCATCTCTGGGCTGCTCTGGAAGCGAATTATGAATTTTTGTCTGCGGTACCGCCAACTTTCGGCGCATGCCACACCCCCTCCCCCCCCCCCACCCGCTGGGGGATTGGTTTCGCATAGATCATGTGCGTTCTTTACATCTTAACTCATGCCCTCTCTCCCTTATAGGTAATGGGTGATATATTCTTCAGAGGCTCGCGGTCGCTGTTCGGCAGAAGGTGTGTGTGAAGAGCTTGGTGATAAACAACAAGGAGAAATGTATAGGAAGTGGATGGGGAGAAAGCTCGGATGTGAAGAGAAATTGCAAGTTCTGATTCTCTTGTGACGGTTAGTTAAGGGCGCATCGGGGTCAATTTTGTGTGGTCTCAGGATGGCGTACGTAAAGGTCATGTCAATGAGAGACCCTAATTGCATGCGCAAGCCCAGCCGTCTCAACAGATGTTAAGGCGAGTGCCAAGTAACGGACAACACGTGGTGGAAAGCGGACTGGACAAGCCAGCATGATAGTACTTGTCGCTATCGAAAACGAAGGAATAAAGAATCTCGGCCGTTCTCTAGTGTTCATTCACTCCTTGTACTTCAAATTTAAAAAGGAACTATGCCCGGACCGTGTCAACGCATCCAATTGACCGCGTCAAGTGGCTATGGTCAATGATCAGTTATATATCCAGGAGATGAGAAGAAGGCGTGGTAGGTAGAGTGTGTCGTATGACGAAATGTTCCCATCCTGGAGACGACTGCATACTATCTTATGCTGGCCAAACTAGGATGGTCCTCAAATAGAATATCCGCACCAATGGCCAACACGTAGTCGCCTCCGTTAATGAAGCACGCAGCTACGCTTTTCATACATGGGATATGAAGCGGCGGGGGGGGCTTACTTTATAAGAGCAAGGCACAAACCCTCATTTGAAAAATGGGATTAAAGAACTCGCACCATACCCAAAACCAAAAAGCTCCGACTCGATTAGTCTGACATTTTTTTCTGCTCTGTTTTTCGTTTGCGAGAAATGCGTATCGGTGCTTTTTCAACCTCGAAATTTCGTGTGCAGTGCGAACGATTTGCCAGTAGCAGCGAATATTGCGTTGTAGAATAACATGTTAGTACTCTTGCCGATGAATTTCTTGTGAATTATTACTCGTGTAAATGAAACGCTTAGAGCGATTCACTGCACAGCTGCATCTGACCACTCACCACCACCAATTGTATAATTTGGTACCCGGCCCAAAATGCTAGAAGGGCGCTATATATTGGGGAAAATGGTGAGGGAGCGAAGTGAAACGATTAAAACTTCCGCAAAGAAAAAGCTATTTTTGTCAATGACTGAAATATCGATTTCGGACGAGTTTTCCAGGTAGACATCTAGCAAACAACCGCCACTACGGCTGCGGGTGTGTACTCATATATCCATGCAGCACCGCGGCCGCTTCATACCAATCCCTTCGCTTCATAATTTGCTTAGCAAATGAATCAATACGAGCGTCAGGAACGGTCGTCCATTTGTGGGCGGGCGGGCGTGGTGGGCGTTCGGGTCGGTATGTTGTAGCTTGATAGGGCCTTATAAGGGTACCTTCCTTGGAAAAGGCGCTACGCAGCGCCTGCTCAGGGGAGCGAAATTCCTCCTGCCAGGCATATCCTACTCGTCTCCAAAGACTTGTCGTGCCAGCTGCCTTTATAACAGTGAGGGTGAAACTTATTTCGAACATTGCAGCGGTCCAACGATTAGCGGTAGAGTATGTCAGTCGTAACCGAGTGGTTTTCCATTAGCAAGACTGAGGGCTCAAGACGGAGAGTTGTCCCATGAACCCAGCGGACTGGTTGCGCTATAGGCGTTTAATCGCGCGTGTCCACACCGCTCACAAGCTTGGTGACATCATGAGCCCACTTTTGCCGTGACAGGAACCTTCAACTTAACAGGTGTACTAGCATGGAAAATTTGCGTACAGTTTTTAGAGATCGTAATTTCGTTTTTAGAGCTGTAATTTTTGCACCAGCGCTATTGCAGAATCGCTTGAAATGGTGGATATGAAAGCACTATCGCAGCAAATAGAAGTGTACGTCGAAATTGAAGACGCAGCGCTGGTCGCCTGGTCAATTTTTGTTATTTGGGGGTGATTGAAGTCAATCACACGAACGTCTTGAATATTCTGTCAGGAGCTTGTTTGCTGCAGTTGAGCGATGTTCAGGTAAGGACATTGACGCTTGGTAGAACTTGCTTTGTTTGCCTTTTTTATGAAAGTTTCGGTAGCCGGCCTTCTGCAGCGAGTTTTCTGGAGAAAGAAATGGGATACGACAACACTGTTTGAAATTCCCGATGCGTTTCGCGCGAAAAGATACGGGTTGTCAATCAGCTCTATCTTTTGCTGACAAAGTATATATTGTAATCAATTTTCGGAGGCTAACTGTTTTTCGCTTTTGGGATGCGCGCCAGACTGCCTGGCTCTTGAGGTTTTTTTTTCAGGAGGTTATTGGCTCTGAGGATTATCTACTACTCACTTTCAGGCAGATACTCAATCTAATTTCTAGCGACGAGCTCAATGCTCGTTCAGAGGAACAGGTGAAATGGAGAATAATTGTTTGTTTATTTATTGTGGAAGTTGGTTTATTTTGTCTACCTTGGGAGAATTCTTGCCGCTAATTTATTTATTTACTTATTTGATTATTTATTTATATATTTATTTATAATAACTTTCCTCATTCCTATTGGCTGCGGATGATGTTGTACGTCAAAAAGCCGCGTTTGGCGCGGCGCCAGCCAGTTTTGTACCATTTCGACTACCTGCCAACTTTCATAACTGGCGGGGGGGGAGGGGATTGCCACGTCACGTCTAGCCCCATCATCCATAGCAACTGACCACATGTTGTCGTTATCCTGTTTCTTGCGGTTCAGTCATTCTTTCAGGTATTTGCCGCAGTTATGGAATGGGTGAGATTCGATTTGACAACACGAAAGCAGTCTCTCTTCGAAGTGAGTGGTCGATTTTAATGACTAGTTCGCCTCATGAAGAATGGTTTTACAGTTGCTGGAACATGTACGACTTCCTACTTGTCACCCGAGGTTCCTTGTTGATACAGTTTCTAAGGACGAACTGGTAAAGTCGGATGCACGCTGCCGAGACCTTGTGGACGAAGCCAAGGTGGGTAATATTCCTGGAAGTGCAATTACCCGCTTGATTCCAATTGTCTCCTATTTCGGGACTCTCAGCTGCTGGATTTCTGCAAGATTGAACGCTTGCCTGACTATCGCGTTCGACCACGGAAAGTCTTCTGCGGTGAAGTAATATACGCTGGTATGAAAAAGTATTGTAATCCTTATCCTTCTTTCAATGTCTTGGTCGTGCTTAGCTGTGATACGGCGAAATTGCTCTGGTGAGAAAATCCGTTTCCATCTTCAAACGACGCTCCATTAACTGAAAGTTATGAGTTTTTTAAGAAAAGTAGTTCAGGACATAAAGGTGTCTGGAGAATGTCTGGAGAATATCAAAGCAGCTCTT